TTTAAACTAAAATACCTAAAACTAAGATAAAATATAATGTTTAAAATATTACCCTAAAACTTGAGTTTAATCCAAATCTGAATTCCAGCAAACTTTAATTTCGAAAATAAAAAAAATTACAAAATTATATCCTTTTTATGTAATTTTCAAAATCTGACATCATACACAAAAATAAATCAAATCAAACAATTAAACCACAAAAACTAATAATTAAATAATAATTTAAAAATAAAATATTAACTAAATTAATCACTTATCACCTTCTCATATCCTCTTTTGCATGCATTCACCCCAAAAAAAAATCCTCTAGGCTTGAGCCTTTGACGCAAACTTAAAAACCAATTACCAACGGTCTCCAGCTGTCCACGCGGCTTCTAGAGTTGCTGAATCATATATCTTCGCATTCTCCTCTCACTCCCACGCTCCGTCATTATTCCCCCCCCCCCCCATAGACAGAAAAATATATTATATTATCATTTTTTAGTTTTAATAGTAAAATGTAGTAACATGATGTGACATAAAACGATAATTATTTGATAGTTTGCTAATGAAATTAAATATTTAAAAGTTTGTAGACTATTTTAGAATGAAAGCTATTTGTTTGGAGATTAAATTGAAATGTTTGAAATTAGAAGAGTCAAAATTTAAGGATGAAAATTAAAATTAAATCATAATTTATAGATACATAATGCAATTAGCACAATTAGATTAACCACTTTGATGTTTTTACTAAAAAGTTAGTGAGATGAACGAACTAATTTACCTCAATGGTTAAAGGAATTGTTATTGTTCTTAGAGACAATGGGTTTGAATTTCAACAATTACAATAGGATGATTAAACGTTCATTATTAAAAATTAAGAATAGTACAAATACTATTTTATAATCACATTGGTTTAATAAAAAAAATATCAGTGAGGCCACACTAGACATTTTTTGCACCACATAGTAAATTCCAACTCCATCTACTAATTTTAAGGCTTTTTTTTTCTTTTGTTTAAGTGCTTTAGGCTATCTCCCGCCCTTATCTCTACTCTACAACATCTCTATCTCTACTCTACAGCATCTATCTCTACTCTTAAGATGAAACAGTAATTCATCTCCAACATTATCTCTACATTACCACAACTCTACTTTATTCACAATATTTAACTTTATTTATCTAATTTCAATGTATTTTTATCTATCTTGCAATTTAATCTACTTGAATTTATTATATTATGTTTAATTTTTATTTTATTGTGTAGAAATTACAATAAAAAAACATAAAAGATAGAATAAGAGAAAATAATATAACAAAGAAAAGTAAAAGAAAAAGAAAATAACAAAAGAAAGTAAAAAAAATAAAAATCATAAATCATAAAAATAACAAAAAATAATAATAATATGTAGCGTAGCTACAGTGCAACTCTAGATATAAAGTATCACTGTAGCTTTTCTCTACTCTAGCGTTGAAAGTTGAGATGGACTGGAGTTGAAATTCATCTCAAAAGTAGAGATTTTCTCTACTCTAACAATGCGCTGAAGATGGTCAGTGTTGAAAAATATTAGAGTTGGAATATTGGATTAATTGGTATCTACTCATACGATTAAAATTTATGCAAACATTATTTTTAGATATCATATTAATTAATGTCACTTTAATTAAATTTAAGAGTAAATTGTATCGTATGTCCTCAAAGTATGACTGTCATTTTAAATTGGTTCCTATATTTTTAAATGTTTTAATTTCATCCCTAAAGCATTACTATCATTTTAAATTAGTCCTCAAACTTTTAAACATCTCAATTTCATCCCCAAACCATGACATTCATTCTAAATTACTCCTCAAAATTTTTAACATTCCAAAATTATCCCAATTTATACATACATACTAATCACATCTCTTATTAATAAAATCGTTGGGCCAAATTACATACTATATGTTTGAAAAAACAAAATTTAGGTTAAACAATGGTTGAAATTAATTACATATTTGGATGAAATTGGAATATTCAAAAAGTTTGGGGACTAATTTAGAAAGAGGGTCATAGTTTAGGATGAAATTAGAATGTTAAAAAGTTTAAGGACCAATTTAAGTTGTGAATTATAATTTGGGGTACATATGATGCAATTAATTATAAATTTAATATTTTTTATTAATATGGAATAAGTACAAGGCCGTATTTGTACATAAATAACTTTTTGCTATTTGACATTGACACTCACGTCCTTGATATTCTTAGTGCTCGAGCCCATAACCTCAAGGAATAACAATAATTCCTTTAAAATTGAGGTTGTTTGGTTTGATCAATTTAATAATTTTTTTTCAAATATCATACTGATTAATGTTTTAATTAGTTTCAAATCAAAACTATCATATTATAAAATAAGAGCTTCGTAGATGAAGGTCTTAAAGAAAGTTAATATATAGTAAATTATTTTACTTCGACCGAAATCGTTTATCCTAATTAATATAAAGTGTTTTACATTTATATTTTATTAACCAATTACTACATTCATAAAGTAATATCGTTTTAGTAATTTACCTATAATAATTGCAGTTAACACAAAAAAAAAAATTCTTGAGAAATATTTTAAAAGACGATACATTAATCTTAAAAGATTAGAAAATAACTACTTTAAAAAATTAGAGAATTGCCAACTACCTTTGAGAGGTTTTTAACCACATATTTTAATTAAAAAAATTAGAGAATCACCAACTAGTACCCAGAAAGACGTTTTGTGCTCAAATTATAATTTAATGGACTTTAAATTTTTTTGAAAACTATAAATAAATTCGATCAAGTCCAAAAAATATTTTTTTAATTTATTATATCAAAACATTATAAAACACAGTTCAACAGAGTCTTATATGCAACTTGTGCAATACAAAATGTACACAAATATACTATATCAACTTTCAAACAAGTACAATCATAACATATGCACCAACGGTGGTTCTGTACACGAATGTACTATATCAAAATCAAACTTTACTCAACTTCATGACATACCAAGTGTACCTATGACTCTCCATACAACATGTAATGGACTTTCAGATAATATCATATTCATTTATTAATTAAGCATTTTAAATCAGAATCATTTTCATCTCATTAATATAAAATTTATAACTTCGTCAGTTTATAGCTGAAATCATCAATAATTTAAAATACAAACATCAGATAAAATACTTTGGGTCATTCATGCCCTAAAATTATTAATAAAACATTTATATAAACATTATAGAAATATTCTATAATCAAAATTAAATCATACTTTAAAAATAAATCATGTGAGGTTGGCTTATCGCAAGTATTCCTTAATCAGAATAATTAAATAAATAAATTGCATTCACCTGGTAATGTCTCACTAGTAAACCTTTTACTCTCGTACTTGATACTTTGCTTTCAACTCAATTTGATCACAATATTTATCACAATCTTGACAAAATCATACACAAACACAATATTTAACACAATCTTGACAAAATCATAAACAAACACAACATTTAACACATATGTTAGTATTGTATCAACATAATCCAAATCCAATACTAAAATCCACAAATTACATTCAATACTTGTTCGATATAAAATCACTTTACTATTCAATAACAACTTAAACATTTCCAAAATAAATTCTCAAATTCTTTATATTATCATCTTCATCACTAATCCACTTAACTTTCACAAACTTTACATTTTAACCACAACTTATAAATTCTTTTAGAATTCATCCAAACTTTTCCAATTAATTCATAATGATCCTTCACCATTTTGTTCAATTCAAATCAATTATTAAAATTTCCAACATTGAAATAACATATTCAATCTAGTACTTCCACTTTTACAAACTTACAATTAAATCCCAAACTTCTTAGCCTATTCGAATTAGCCACTAAAAGTTCCCAAACTTGCAAAGTTGACCCAAAACAATATTCAAACTTAAAATTCAGCATCCAAGTATTAATTTCTAGCATTGAACACTCAGAATTTCACTTTTACACATCAATGTCCCATAATTCCAAAAACTTGCAAAATGGTCCTTTTACTATCACAATTTTCCAAATTAATCCAAATCAAATTCCAAAGCATGTAAAATTCCTCTAATATCAATTATAGACTATAGGAAATTTTTAAATATTTTCCCCTTATTTCTCTTGGCATGGTCGAACCTACTTAGTGCAATAGGGCTTGGTTTTCATTCAATTTCAAGCATGAATTTAACTCCCTATGATTAAATTCATGCTATTATAAACATCCTAACCTCAAATTCGATCAACATGTAGTGTCAGGATATGGATTAATCAAGGATATAGATGTATCTAATTAGCAGGGTATAGTTGGATCAACTTTACTGTCAGGATATGGATTACACATGAATATAAGTGTACCTAATAAGCAGGCATTGTTCGATTCGTGATTGCATAATTGAAATTCATTGAAAAAGGTTTGAAATTAAGGTGCAATATTACATTGGTAAAATATTCATTAAAAAACTTTGAAATTAAGATGCAAATTGCATCAAATTAAAGTGGATGGGAAACGCACGGTGATCCATGCATATTTGCATGTGTCGTATGGACTCTAATGTGTCACCCTCAATATTATAGCAATTACCCTATTTAAGAAAATAATCTCACGCAAATATTATTCAAGCTAATAAAAAATTCAAATGCATTATCTAAAGTGTAAAGAATAAAAAATATTAGTGTATATTTGTATTAGATCTTGTCATTATTTAGAATGATATTTAATGATGGGATAAATTATTTGTAATATTTTTCTAATGATAATAAATTTTAAAATTTTAAAATTTTAAAATAATATATTTATTATTAAATTCATAATTAAATGATATGTGTGTACTTTAGCTTAACCTAAAAATTAAAGCAAATAAATAGTACTGGAAGTGGAGAGATTATAAGCAATCCACCGTCGTCAATCATCATCACTGTCTTCACTTCACTGAACCAAAGAATTTTCCTCCTTTCATTTTCTTTTTCCATAAGTTCTCTCTCTTTAAACGCAACAAAACAAAACAAAACTTACAAACTTTCTTTCTCTCCCTCTCGAAGACGCTGAAAAGAAAAACACTGAAAATGCTTAATCTATGGACTTGTTTCTTACTTTCCTTTCTCTCATCCTTCAGTGTAAGCAAATCTATTGTTTTCCCTTTTTTTTGTCTTTTTATTATTCCGGGTATTATGTTTATCTATTTTTGTCTGTTGATTGAAACTTCGATTAAGACAGTTTTTTTAATTGTAATTTTCGGACAATGCAGGTTTTGTTCGGCGGTGTCGGTGCTTCTTTGGTGTCGGAAAATCCATTTACTCCAAAGGCCTCCGTGATTCGTTACTGGAACAACGAGATCCGCAGTGAAATACTCAAAACCCATTTTTTGCTCTCCAAAGTTTCGCCGCTAACCGCCGTCGACTCGGCCGGTTTTTCTAAACTGGCTGCCCAAAACGACCTTGCTTCCCGTCTCCCTTCTTTTTGTTCCGCCGCCAAACTATTTTGCTTCCCTGATTTATCCCCGAGTTTCGAGAAGCACACCGGAGATGTAAAGTTCGCGGTCTACGCCATCAAGAATTTCACCAATTATGGAACGGACCGACTCTCTGGAGTTGACTCGTTTAAGAACTACTCGGAGGACAACAACGTTGTCGTCGACTCGTTCCGCCGATACAGTCGGGACTCGGCGGGCCACAAGGAACAATTCTCCAATTATGCTAGTGAAGCCAACGTCGTGGACCAGAGCTTCAACACCTACGCCACCGATGCCATTGGCGGTTCCGGAGACTTCAACAACTACAACAAAGAAGTCAACAATCCCAATCTCCGTTTCACTTCGTACTCCGACGACTCCAACGGGCACGGGCAGATATTCACACAGTACACCGAGAATGCCAACGCCGGGAACGGGCAGTCATTCACGAGTTACGGGAAAAACGGTAACGGCTTCCCTAACGACTTCAGTAGTTACGGGAAAGGAGCCAATGTGATAGGGTCAGGATTTTCTGGTTACGGGGAATCAGCCAACGGGGCGAATGACAGTTTCACTTCGTACGGATTCGACTCCAATGTTCCGCAAAATACTTTCAAGAGTTATGGAGACGGCGGCAATGCGGCGGTCAACAGTTTCTCAAGCTACCGCGATCAAGCCAATGTGGGTGACGATTCTTTCCAATCGTACGCCAAAAATTCCAACGGAGAGACGGTCGATTTCTCAAACTACGGCCAATCGTTTAACGAAGGAACCGATAAATTCACAGGGTACGGCCAAGGAGCGATGGGCCAGTCCATTGGGTTCAAAATCTATGGAAGAAACAACACTTTCAAGGATTATTCAAAAAAGGGTATCACTTTCAGTAGATACAACAACGAGAGTTCCTCTGAAACTGCTCAAGTTAAGGCCAGTGGCAGTGTCATGAATAAATGGGTGGAGCCGGGCAAATTCTTCCGGGAAAAGATGCTGAAGCGAGGGACGGTGATGCCAATGCCGGACATAAAAGATAAAATGCCAGAAAGGTCGTTTTTGCCCCGGACCATTGTTTCAAAATTACCGTTTTCTTCCTCCAAGATCGATGAATTGAAACGGATATTCCGGGCGGGGGCTAACTCCACACTGGAAACCCTAATGCTCGACGCCTTAAAAGAGTGCGAGCGAGCACCGAGCCCCGGCGAGACCAAACGGTGCGTGGGATCGGTGGAGGACATGATCGACTTCGCCACCTCGGTTCTGGGGCGGAACGTGGAGGTTCGTACGACGGAGAGCGTTAAGGGGTCGAAGCAGAACATAAAGATCGGAACCGTGAGAGGAATCAACGGTGGGAAAGTAACGAAATCGGTTTCTTGTCACCAGAGTTTGTACCCGTATTTGCTTTACTACTGTCACTCGGTTCCCAAGGTCCGGATATATGAAGCGGATATTCTGGATCCGAATTCAAGGGAGAAGATCAATCACGGTGTGGCCATCTGTCATTTGGACACATCTAGTTGGAGTTCGAATCACGGGGCATTCTTGGCTTTGGGTTCGGGTCCGGGTCGGATCGAGGTTTGCCACTGGATTTTCGAGAACGATATGACTTGGACCATAGCTGATTCGTAAGTAAATTTGGTTGAAAAAAAAACCTTTGGCTAAGATAACTTAGCCAATGATGAAATTATGAATTTGTCCATTTTGTTTTTTTTTCTCTACTTTAGTTTAAGATTATGGAATGCAATACAGAAATATGAATTATTTTTTCTTTTCCTTCTTTTGATGCTTTAAATATGTGAAGTCGAAGATCAAAAGATACGAGTGAATTTTATGAAAATTTGTAAAACATGTAAATGCATAATTCATTTCCATTTCTGCAAATATGAACAATTCCTCCAAAGAGACCCCATCAATCACTAAGAAGTGCACGTTTTCCACTCTGTTCCTTCGGCTTTTCACTTCTTGGATGAATTATCTACCACAACAATCAATCACAGTCCCCATCAACCATCTTCCCATAAACTTCAAAACTGGATGCCAAGTGTTTGCATAAATGCTGCTGAGATAGAATCTGGAAGCGAATCTCGGCCCTGTAATTCCATGGGGTCATTCCATTATTCTCAAGTTGATGCTTACAAAGCCTACATAGGTTGTGACTTTATTGAAGTGCTTTGGTTGCGTCCATTTGAGCCACTCATGGCATCGGTTACCAAACGGTGCAGTGTTCCATGCCATTAAATTGGTAGGATGGGGTTCATTTAAAACACCATCCTATACTAAGAAAACTTCACCACTCCTTTCCAACATTATTGTTAAAAACTACATGCATAAAAAAGCCAACGTCCCCATGCCCCACACTATCTTTACGGAACCTTTCCACTCTCTTCTCCAACCACTCTATTCAATTATTATCAATACAAAAAAAACCTCCTAAAAATTCATATTATTAAAATCAGGATAAATTATTACAATGCAAAAATGTATGAATTGATTATCAATATATATATATAATTAAAAGGAGAAACTTAGATAACTAGGCTAGATGACACAATAGGAAGGTCTCTACTACGAAGATCTTGATTGTAAACCGGAGAAGCATGGTGAAGCATCTCAAATTGTGAATGAGGAACGTATTTGGCCAGAGCATCCACTGGACGATTTGCTTCTCGTGGGATCAAAGTGAAGTCAATTACCCATCTTAGTTGTTTGAACATTGAGATAGCTCGAACTAGAGCCAAAGGGATAGAGTGAGCATGAGTAGCATTGAGAGCTGATATGGCTCGAGAGTAATCCGATTGTATCTGCACCAATTCGAAACTTATATCATATTAAATTAGTACAAAAAAATGACACAATATTTACATATAATGAAACTTCGACATAAACTCGTCTACTTTACCAATATAATTAAGGTCTCACATTATTTACACATGATTAAACTTTAACATAGGTTCATCTACTTTACCAATATAATTAAGGTCTAAAAGTTTCTAAAATAACAAACTAAAAATAAGGATATCCTGATGGAAAATTGTAACACCCCCAACCCGTACTCGACCCGGATACGAGTCCGAGGTGTCACATTGACCATTCAAAGCATATACTTTTATAAAAAAACCATAGAAAATTTAAAACTTCTATTCTATAAAGTAATTCTTTTACATAAATATGTTTAAAACCTTAACAGACTCCATCAGAGCGTACATATATAATGACTTAGTTACATGCCAACATACTAAATTATATGACAAGATATACTTTACAAAATATTTCTGATCTGAACTTTGCGCGGAAATATGCTGCTTTACGGATCCGAAGCTTGATCTTCTGACTTATCCACACCTACGTGTAAGACACTTACACGCTAAGTCATAGACTTAGTGAGACATGTAAATACATAAAGTAACTAACAAATGCATGAACATCTTATGTAATACACATTATACTTATATACCTATTGAACTCATCACTAATATGTTTATCCTTACTTATTTCCTTGTCATTAATTCAATTCCATCATATGAGCATATATTGAACATAAACATATAATATAATTTCAAAACACAACAATACATGAATGATTACTATGATTATATCATACATAACCATATAACATCTCATATCACCACTATACTTATGCACTTGTTACCATTATTATCATATGATCCTAACTTATCACTTATACATATCACATATCACATATCACAGGAAACACACATATCATTATATCAAATTATGTTTCTTTTCAAAGCCCATGCACACTATTGAGAACTTAAGGTATGTGAGTACCTAGAGGTTGTGCACAATACTGTCACCACAACTCGTATAAATCCCATTAGGGGTGCGTAGAATTTGTCCCGTAGGACCACAGTGTCCCGAAGGACCACGTAGACCTTCGACTCTTGGCATGCCAACTATACCTATAGCTCTCATATTATATAACATGGGCATTATTATTTATCTTCTTACATATTCACGTAGGCACATAGTTCACTTTCACATAGCATATTTCCATGTAATTCACATTCACTTATCACATAGCTTTTCACTTTTACTTGTATTCCTTTTCACATAGTTCATAGCCATGATTGTTATCTCACAACACATTTTCGCATATACATGTTCTCATACAACCCCTTCATTCAATTATAACATCTAATCTATCTTATTATACTAACATGTATTCATATCATTCATTTCACATACATAACATATCATATAACATTCTAATAGAAACACATATGAGTCATATTATTTTCACATATATTTTATCATATATCTCATGATCACATGACCTATTATCATAAATATATGCATTTACATAGTTCACACATAAATATGCATTCAACAATTAGACATATGCATTTACTCATATACCATACATCTAACACCATATCACTACATGTTTATGCTTTAGTACTCATATCGTATAATATCAAAATTAGACTCATCACAAGTCTTAATTCCTTAACATAACGTTCATTTACTATCATGTACTCACCTGGTCTCAATGAACACTCTTAAGTTCTTGTTTTCTTTGAGTATCTTACTCTGCCGACCTATCCGAACTTTGCTTTCGATCGATGTCTACACAATCATATATTTATACTATCAGTATCCCATTGATATACTATAATCTATAATTTCTTAGACTGAAAGAAAGATTTATTTCATTTCCTATTGAAGTGCATCGGTACATTCTACCATGTATCGATGCATCCCTTAATATGTGGATCGATACACTACCCATGCATCGGTACACAAATCACCTTCGATGTTTTACTCTTAAGGGGGTGCATCGATGCACTCCTCATGCATCGATGCACTAATGGCATTCGATGTTCATTTATTTAAGAGTGCATCGGTACACATTAAATGTGCATCGATGCACACAACCCAGAAATTACCTCTTGAGCATGAAAATGTCTTGTTTTGACCCCCAAATTCTACTTATTAATCACTCCTTATACCTTAAAACTTATCTATACATATGTAAACCTTCTTATAACACTATAACACTTTACCATCTCTCATAATTCACCATAATTCTTGAATTAAAGAATTTCATCAAATTTTCCATGTATTCTAAATTCAATTCTATCACCTTTAACTTCTTAATTAACCCATTGACAAGTCAAATTCATCCTTAGAACTTTAAAAACCTTTCTATAACAAAAGTTCATTTCTAAACTCTTAATAGAAATTTCTTTCTAATTCTTTCCTCTTGGTGTTTTAAGCTTATATAACGCCTAATTATTCCAACCCAACCTATAAATTCCATAAATTAACCAATTAAATCAACTTACCTTTGGGAGTTAGAGTTGGAGCAACGAGAGCAAGAAGAAGAAAGAAAGAAGATAAGCTTCTGAAGCTTTTTCCTCTTTCACACGTGTTATCTCCCTAAATAAGGGAGATAAAATATCTTCCAAGCTAAATTACCATAAAATCCTTGAACTATCAATTTTCCTAAATTGATCCCCAAATTTCTAAAATTCTCATTTTAGTCACTGACCCGGATTTCAGGATGTTACAAATCTCCCCCTCTTTTAAAGAAAATTCGTCTTCGAATTTTCACTTTACCTCAAATGAAGCAATCCTTTATAATACTCAACAATTCTTATATTACCCTTACTATTAACCTTATACTCATATACAGTTCTCCTTCGATACTCAATATATATATATATATATCTTTCTTACTTACTCCATAAACAACCTTCATACAACTTATTTACTTGGAAACCATATACTATTAATTCTTAACAATTCATTATTTTTTTCTTCTACTCAAATCTTTCAATTATCTCTCTAAGTACCACTTATTGGATACTATGTTGATTCCCAAATCTATTAACACCAAACTATTTTACCACGATATTGAAATTTACCTGCCAAAATCTCTGGATCATCGAAATCTTCATCAGTCCTTAAATTATAAACTTGTGCAGTTGGTTACATATCATGTTGAGTGAATGAATTCGATCGATTCCTTCTACGACCTCTACCTCTATTTTGTTGAGATACCATAGTAGATCTTTCTCTTTACATCGTCTTCTCAGTCATAAGTGGACAATCTTGTATAAAATGTCCAACATCCCCGCATCTAAAACAAGCTCCGGAGATTACTCTACATACCCCTGTATGATTCTTTCCACAATATGAACATTGCCTGACTTGACTGAGATTTGATCTTCTATCAATAAAAACATCTGATTCCAACATATCATGAGTTGGAGAATCCCATTCTCTATTTTTCTTGGATGGAGAGGAGCTCGACGAAGCACTCATTCTTTTGGACTTCTGAACTTTATGTTATTTAAATATTTCATTCTGAGCTCTCTCTAGAGCTTTAGCTCAATTAACTACTTCTTGAAACGATGACAAATTCAAGGCTATCAACAACTCTCTTAGCCTAGGCGCAAACCCTCCACAAACCAGTCACATACATCCTTCTCAGTCAGAATAAGCTCAGCAGCAAAATGACTTAACTTATTAAACTCGCATTCGTATTCATACACTGTATAATTCTCTTGCTTCAAATTTATAAATTCTTGCTTCATATGTCTAATATATTGGTCACCAATATACTTACGATTGAATTCTTCCAAGAAGAATAACCAAGTCACTTGATCACTTCTTAATCTCATGGTGACATTAGTCCATCATATTCTAGCTTGTCCCCTTAACAAAGAAACTATTCCATCTAATTTTTCCACATCAGAACAGTGGAGCCCATCCAACATAATCTTAACATCGTTCAACCAAAGATCCG